CCATTTGGGTTCCTCGCTAGTGATTTCCCTGCTTTTCTATTAGATGTTTGATATTTTTCTGATAGAACATAGGAGTTTCTTGAATGTTAGTCTCTTGTCGGTTTTAGGTATTGTGATAATATACACTTGGTCTCTTTCCCTGGTTTGTGACACAGGGCTCCTGAAATGCTCATAATTTCCTGAACGTTAGGGTGATAGGAACATCTTTTGTTATATTCGATTGTAATCCCCTGCCTAACACAAAGGATTCTAAAACCCTTGGAATCCCCAAAGTGATGATTGGTGGCTGGAGTCCCTTTATGGCTTCATGGTGGGGGGTGGTCACCTGAAAGACTAAGGCATGGTTAAGAGGGGACATCTAGCCCCGCCCCAGACCTCAGGGGATGAGAGAGGGGCTGGAAGCTGAGCCAATCATCAATGACTAATGATTAAATCAATCATGCCCACATAATGAAGTTTCCATAAAAACCCTAAATGATGGGTTTTGGGAACCTCCAGATTGGTGAGTGCTTGCACATGCTGGAATGGTGGCACACCCCAACTCCACAGGGACAGAAGCACCTGTGCTTGGGACCCCTCCAAACCTTGTCCATGGAGCCCTTCATCTGGCTATTTATTTGTATCCTTTATAATATTCTTTATAATAAACTGATAATAGTAAGCAAAGTGTTTCCCTGAGTCAGCCATTATAGCAAATTATATTAGAACTTGAGGAACCTGAGGAGGGAGTTGTGGGAACCTCCCATTTGTAGCCAAGTCAGACAGAAGCTGTGGGTTACCTGGGGACCTACTACAGAGGCACCTCAGAGATATTGTGGGCTCAGTTCCAGACCACTGCAGTAAAGCAAATATCACAAAAAAGCAAGTATCCCAATAAAGCGAGTCATATAAATTTTTTGGTTTCCTGGTGCATATAAAAGTTATGTTTACATTATACTGTAGTCTCTTAAGTGTACAATAGCATTATGTCTAAAAAACAATGTACATACCTTAATTAAATACTTTACTGCTAAAAAATGCTAACAATCATCTGAGCCCTCACGGAGTTGTCACTTTTTTGCTGGTGTGGAGGCTAGGCTTGAGGTTGATGGCTGATGAGTGATCAGGGTGGCGGTTCCTGAAGGTTGGGGTGGCTGTGGCAGTTGCTTAAAAATAAGACATGTCGACCCAAATAAATGAGTTGAGGCATCAATCTCAATCAGTGTAGGTTTATTAAGCCAAGATTTTGAGGATGTGCCTGGGAAAAATACGAACTGCAGACAAGCTGTGACTGTTTATCTGAAGGGGAAGTTAGAACCTTCAGCATTTTAAAAAGACATTCAGAGAAGGAAAAAGACAGCGGGGAGGAGGAGTTGATGAGATAATGTTTACATTCGTGTGAGGTTCAAGAAATCTACATTCTACATAAAATAAGGAGTGAAGGAAGTATCAATTATAAAGATGTCCCTGGGTAGGTGGAATAATGTCTGATTCTGTCTTGTCTTCAGTTCTGGTACTTGTAAGATAAACTTGTAATTCATTGCTAGTGTGGAATCCAACAGGCTTTAGTTTTAGGTGCTAAATATAGTTATAATTTGTATGTCCTTGCTTATAGGAAGTTAGCAAGGAATTTCCTTAATGAAAGATCTGTGGGGCCAGTTCTTCACAGGGGCCTGAGGCTTTTACCTTCTCTTTTGCATAAGGAGTTGAGGGGGTGGCCCTGAGACTTTGATTTTCTTTTCACAGACAACAGTGAAGTCTACTCTTCTTTTCATAATGCAGAAGTTGTCTCTTCCACAGTGATGGACTCATTACATGAAAGATTTCTCTGTAGCATGTGATGCTTTTTGATAGTATTTTACCCACAGTAGAACTTCTTTCAAAATTGTAGGCAGTCCTCTCAAACCCTGCCACTGCTTTCCCAACTAAGTTTATGGAATATTCTAAATCCTTTGTTGTCATTTCAACAGTTTTCACAGCATCTTCACCAAGTGTAGATTTCATCTCAAGAAACCACTTTTTGCTGATCCATAAAAAGAAACAACTCTTAATTCATTTGAGTTTTATTATGAGATTGTAGCAATTCAGACACATCTTCAGGCTCCATTCCTAATTCTAGTTCTCCACCACATCTACAGTTACTTCCTCCGCTGAAGTCTTGAACCCCTCAAAGTCATCCATAGGCATCAACTTCTTCCATACTTTTTTTTTTTTTTTTGAGACAGAGTCTCACTCTGTTGCCTGGGCTAGAGTGCTGTGGCGTCAGTCTAGCTCACAGCAACCTCAAACTTCTGGGCTCAAGCGATCCTACTGCCTCAGCCTCCCTAGTAGCTGGGACTACAGGCATGCGCCACCATGCCCAGCTAATTTTTTCTATATATTTTTAATTGTCCAGATAATTTCTTTCTATTTTTTAGTAGAGACGGGGTCTCGCTTTTGCTCAGGCTGGTCTCAAACTCCTGAGCTCAAACGATCTGCCTACCTTGGCCTCCCAGAGTGCTAGGATTACAGGCGTGAGCCACCGTGCCTGGCCTATACTCTTTAATATTGATATTTTGAGATCCTCCCGTGAATCATGAATGCTGTCAGTGACACCTAGAATGGTGAATCTTTTACAGAAGGTTTTCAATTTAATTTGCCCAGATCTATTAGGGGAATCACTATGGCAGCTTATAGCCTTATGAAATATATTTCTTAAACAATAAGACTTGAAAATCAAAATGACTCCTTGATCCATGGGCTACAGAATGGATGTTGTGTTAGCAGGCATGAAAACAACATTAATCTCCTTGTACATTTCCGTCAGAGCTCTTGGGTGATGGTGACCAAGAGCACATTGTTAATGAACAGTAATATTTCGAAAGAAATCTTTTTTTCTGAGTAGTAGGTCTCAAGAGTGGGATTAAAATATTTGGTAAACCATGCTGTAAAGAGATGTGCTGTCATTTAGGCTTTGTTCTATTTACAGAGCACAGGCAGAGTAGATTTAGCATTATTCTCAAGGGCTCTAGGATTTTTGGAATAGTAAAGGAGCATTGGTTTCAATTTCAAGTTACCAGCTACACTAGCCCCTAACAGGAGAGTCAGCCTGTCCTTTGTAGCTTTGAAGCCAGGCATTGAGTCCTCTCTAGCTATGAAAGTCCTAGATGGCATCTTTTCCCAGTAGAAGTCTGTTTCATCTACATTGAAAATCTTGTTTTGTGTAGTCACCTTCAATTTTAATGATCTTAGATCTTCTGGATAACTTGCTGCAGCTTCTATATCAGTACTTACTGCTTCTCCTTGTACTTTTATGTTACAGAGATAGCTTCTTTTCTTAAACCTTTTAAGCCAATCTCTGCTTACTTTAAACTTTCCTCCTACAGCTTTCTCACCTCTCTGAGCCTTTACGGAATTGACTTGCTCCATATCAGCAGTAAGGCTGTTTTGATTTCTTATCATTCATGTGTTCACTGGAGTAGCACTTTTAATTTCCTTCAAGAACTTTTCTTTTGCATTCAGTACTTGGCTAACTGTTTGGTGTAGGAGGCCGAGCTTTCAGCCTATCAGCCTTTCGACATGCCTTCCTCACTAAGCTTAATCATTTCTAGCTTTTGAGCAATATATGACTCTTCCTTTCACTTGGACACTTAGAGGCCACTTAAGCATTATTAATTGGCCTAATTTCAATGTTGTTGTGTCTTAGGTAATAGGGAGGCCCAAGGAGAGGGGGAGAGATGGGGAAATGGCCAGTTGGTGGAGTAGTCAGAACACACACAACATTTATTGATTAAGTTCGCTGTATTCTATGGGCATGGTTCATGGTGCTCCAAAACAATTCCCGTAGTAACATCAAAGATCACCGATCACAGATTACCATAACAGATATAATAATAATAATAATAATAAAAAAGTTTGACGTGTTGCGAGAATTACCAAAATGTGACACAGAGACACAAAATAAACACCTGTGTGATTATTTCACTGTGAAATCAGCATCAATGGGTAAATGAGGCTGATAGACTTGCTCGACACAAGGTTGCCACAAACCTTGAATATGTAAAAACCGCAGTCATCTGCGGAGTGCGGATGTGTTTAGAGTAGGGACAGTCTTGTGGGACTGAGCCCTTAACCTGTGGGGTCTGAGCTGATTCTAGGTGGTTAGTGTCAGAATTGAATTGAATTGTTGGACACATAGTTGTTGTCTCAGAGAACTGGAGAATTGCTTGGTGTGAAAATCCATACATTTGGTGTCACAAGTGTTGTGAGTAGAGGAATAGTTTCCTTAGAGATTTTTAGATACTCCTTATTGTTTATAATCTGAATGGGATGTAATTTCTTTCACGGATTTAGATATATATTTCTAATTATGTCATTTAGGCAGTTATTTACTAATGATAGGATGTGTTTATACTTCAAGTTTAAGGTTGGTTCTTTCCTTTTCACTTGCTATGTAAGGAGTTTTATGGCTGTTGTTCTTGACTGAAACTTTAAATTGTTAATGGCCTAAAGTCATTGTTGTTAACTTTTCCTTTCTGTCAATGCCCCTGAATTATACTCTGTCAGTGGTAATGGCCCTGTGTAGCAATGTTCTCAGTTGGCAGTGGAGTAGGTCATTGCATACAGTTAAACAATGATTTTTGAATCTTACCCCCATTCCATGTCCTCCCCTTTCCTGTGGACATACAAGCAATTGAGCTTCACTGGATAAAAGCAATTAGTGTGAAATTCAAGTGGGTAAATATCAAAGACCAAATTTCTCAGTTGTGAAATCTAGTAGGAGGAAATGGAAGACTCATCCTTTAAAGAATTTGAGTGATGATATATTGGTTTCTTTATTAAAAGGGTCAGTGACTACTAAATAAATCACACTGGATCTCTTATAGTTATGATTCATATCTTATATTTTTAAAATCAAACCTTCAGTTACTGATGTGCATTGTAATTTTTCATTTCTGGGGGAGGACATTTGCAAAGAGACTGACAAGTGGCTATTGCATTTTGAAAAGTAATTACAGATTTAAAAATTTTTAATTCTCCAGATGATGGTGTTGATGCTCAAAGTGGATCAAAGAAAGAAGATCTGAATGACAAAGAGAAAAAGGATGAAGAAGATGCTCCTGCACCTGCTTACAGGGCCAAATCAATTCTGGAGAGCTGGGTATGGGGCAAGCAGCCAGGTAATCTTCTGAGTTTTGATGCTTTGGAAAGCTTGATCTGACACTCCCACTCCTTTTCTAAATACCTTAGATGGACTTTTTTTTTTTGTCATCAAATTTTCTAAAACTTAATTTTAAATTTTTTACATTGTGGTAAAATACATGTAACATAAAACTTATCATTTTAATAATTTTAAAGTGTGCAGTTCAGTGTCTTTACATACATTCACATTGTTGCCCAGCCACCACCACCATCCATCTCTAGAACTTTTCCCATTTTCTCTCTCTTATTTAGAGACAGAGTCTTGCTTTGTCACTCAGGCTGGAATGCAGTGGCATTATTATAGCTCATTGCAACCGCGAGCTCCTGCGCTCAAGTGATCCTCCTGTGTCAGCCTCCTGAGTAGCTGGGACTACAGGTGTGAGCCACTGCACCTGGCTCATTTTCTCTAACTGAAACTCTGTATCCACTAAATAGTAACTCCCCTCCTACCCCCAAGCAACCACCATTCTACTTTTGTCTTTATGAATTTGACTACTCAAGTTACCTCATGTAAGTGGAACCATACAGTGTTTGTCCTTTTGTGACTGGCTTATTTCTCTTAGCATGTCTTCAGGGTGGTAACATATGTCAGGATTCCTTTCCTTTTTAAGGCTGAATAATAGTGCAATGTATTTTTTTATAAACACACACACACACACACACACACACACACACACCCACACCACATTTTGTTTATCCATTCATTAGATGATGGGCACTTGGGTTGTTTCCACCTTTGGCTATTGTGAATAATGCTGCTATGAACATGGGTTTATAAGTGTCTGAGTTCCTGCCTCCCCCTCCCCCCCACCCTCAGACAGGGTTTTGCTTTGTCATCTAGTCTGGAGTGCAGTGGTGTAATCATAGTTCCCTGCAACCTTGAACTCTTGGGCTCAAGCAGTCCTCCTGCGTCTGCTTCCCAGTTAGCTGGGACTATAGGCATGCGCCACCAAGCCCAGCTAATTTTTTTTTTTGTGGATATGAGGTCTTGCCGTGTTGACCAGGCTGGTCTTGAACTCCTAGCTTCAAGGGATCCTCCTGCCTCAGCCTCCCAAAGTGTGGGGATTACAGGTGTGAGCTACTACTCCTGACCTTGATTCCCTGTTTTTAATTTTTTTGGGTGTGTGTATGTGTGTGTGTGTGTGTGTGTGTGTGTATATCTAGGAGTAGAATTGCTGGATAATATGGTAATTCTATGTTTAACTTTTCGAAGAACTGTCAAACTGTTTTCCACAGTGGCTGTACCATTTTACATTTTTCCAGCAGTGTGCAAGGGTTGCATTTTCTCTGTGCCCTCAATGACACTTATTTTCCTTTTTCTTTTTTGATAATAGTCCGGCTAATGGGTGTGAAGTGGTACAATATCTCATTGTTTTGACTTGTATTTCCCTAATGATTAGTAATTTTGAGCATCTTTTCATGTGCTTATTGGCCATTTGTATATATTCTTTGGAGAAATGTCTATTTAAATCTTTTGCCTGTTTTTGAATTAGATTGGGTTTTTTGTTTTTATTTTTGTTTTTGAGTTGTAGGAGTTCTTTATTGTGGATAGACTTTTATAATTATCTATTTCTTTTATCCAAGCAAATAAAACTCAGTATTTTTATTCTTTGCTTCTTACTTTATCTTGTAATTTAGTTTTTTAAACGCCTGATGTATTTTTCTAATTTTTAAAATATACATGGAATAAGTGAATATTTTCTTGTAAAGATTCATAAAGTGGAAATTCCTCTTGACTGCCCACCCCAATTTGAAGTTTTCTCCTGAGAGTTAGCTGCTATTACCAGTTTGGTATGCATTTCAGACTTTTTTTCTTTGCATGGACATACATTTAAATTTGTGTGTATACATATATATATACACACACAGACACTGTATATATATTTTTATATATATGTATATAAATAATTTATATTTGGGATTAATAATAGTACCTATCTCATAGGATCAGTAGAATAAGTCAGGTAAAGTGCTTATGTTGTTATTAGTATCTTACATGCAGTATGTGCTATCAAGTATTAGCTGTTATTCAGAAATTTGTTGAAATTTGTCTTGTATTTTGATCAGTCTTGGGGAAGTTATCAATTTAATTGATTTTTTCCTAAGAGCCAGTTGATTTCATTGATTTTTTTTCTGTTTTTTATTGATTTTTGCTTTTATCTTTATTATTTCACTTTTTCTGCTTGCTTTGGGTTATATCTGCTGCTGTCTCTCTTCTGGTTTAAGGTAGAAGCTTAGATCATTGATTTTGGTTCTTTCATCTTTTTTAATATGTTCAAAGCTATAAATTTCCCTCTAAGCATGTTTAGCTATATTTCACAAATTTGGAGATGTTTATTCATTTTCATCTTCATTCAGTTGAAAATATTTTCTAATTTACCTTGTAATTTCTTCTTTGACTCATTTATATTTTGGAAATATATTATTTAATTTCCAAATATTTGTGGATTTTCAAATGTCTCCTGTTGACGATTTCTAATTTAGTTGCAGTCAGAGAACATATTATGGGATTTCAATTTTTAAAAATGTGTTGAGACTTGTCTATGGCCAGGGTATAATCTGTTCTGTTGAATGTTTCATGTGCACTTGAAAAGAATGTGTATTTTTCTGCTCTGTGAAGCTTTATGAGGTCCAGTTAGTTGATAGTGTTGTTCAAGCATTCTTGACTTGAAATAATTTTCTGTCCACTTGTACTGTTCACTTTTGGGAGAGGAGTTGAACTAAAATACAGGATTGGACTATCATGTCAGGGTGACATGAATCAGAGATCTTACCTAGTTACTTAGTAACTTTAAGGATATAGTAATATCCATACTTGTATGTGCAGGCAAAGCAGGGACAGATGTGGGACAGTCAGTGCAGCTCCCCAGGTCTGTCTTTGTGTTGGACACCTCTCTCTGGCCCAGCTTAAGAGATGAGGCTTCTCAGTGAGGTGTGCAGTCACCTTGCATAGCTAGGAGCATTTAGAATGTATGGTGTTTCCATTTTACAGCCAGATAGTTACAGACCTTATAGAACCTTTTCCAGGGAGCCATGTCCCATAAATCCATGGATTTTAGGTAAATTTACCAAAAGCAATCTAACGACATCTTGCTAAAAATATTTCATAGGTAAGGACTCCTCTCCTAGCAAATGCTAGTAGTTTATTTACCAAGAAGGCTGTCTCAACATTCCAGAGGAATCAGATCCAGCCACACTGGTCTCCTTTCTTTCCCTGGAGTATCTTCATTGTGAAGGGGAGAATTGCAGAGCAGTCTAGCAGCTTGGCTCCTTCCTCTTCCTAGGAGTATTGAAATCTCTTGTGTTAATTCTGGATTTTTGCTTTCAGTTCTGCAGTTTTTCATCATGTATTTTAAAACTGTTATCAGATGCATGCACTTTTAGGATTTTTATGTCATTTTGATGAATCTGATCCCTTTTTCTGTTGGTTTTTTTTTTTTTTGAGACAGAGTCTTACTCTGTTGCCTAGGCTCTAGTGCCGTGGCGTCCGCCTAGCTCACAGCAACCTCAAATGCCTGGGCTCAAGCGATCCTCCTGCCTCAGGCTCCCGAGGAGCTGGGACTACATGTGCACACCACCACACCCAACTAATTTTTTCTATTTTTGGTGGAGATGGGGTCTCACTGTTGCTCAGGCTGGTTTTGAACTTGTGACCTCAAGGGATCCTCCCACCTCGGCCTCCCAGAGTGCTAGGATTACAGGCGTGAGCCACCATGCCCAACCTAAAGCATATTCTTGAGTCAAGTCATCTTGAAACCAAACTGCAGGTGGAATTTATATCTTTTAGACAAATATCTATTCCTTTGGTTCCTTTTATTTTTGCTCTTCCATCTCAACCTAAAAAAGAAAAACACATTAATTTGAACCATAGGAATTTAGGTCTTTTTTTTTTGCTTTTGCTTAGAGTTGGACTTAAGCTTCCATTTTGACATTTCTTTTTTCAACTTTTTTTAAATGAAAAATTAAAACATACAGAAAAGTTGAAAGAGTTTTATAGGGAGTGCCCATATATCCATCCACCAGTTAGACTCCACCACTGGCCTCTATTCTATGTGCTTTATCATACCTTCTGCATCTCTTCATTCCTGTGTTCATCCATAAGTCCCTCATGGTTTTTGGCTGCATTTCCAAGGAGACTTCCAGACACTTGCCCCTCAACACTGCAGTGTGCAGGTCCTCAGCAGGAGTTCAGAAGGGCATACTGCCTTAGTGGACCTTTCTGGGAGTTTTGTGATCATGGCTTTTCTTTTTGTCTAACAGAAAGGATTTGCTGGGCATACGGTGCTGTAATCTCTTACGAGTAGTGTTGGAATCTTAGTAGAATCTACTCTAAGTGATTATTATCTAAATCATTCTCAGTGCTTCTCTCTGCTGTGTAAGCTGAATCTAAGGGGACCTTTTCTGACATCACTGATAGCACAGGTTTTTGTAAATGCTATTTATCAAGGTGAGGAAGTTCCCATTTGTTCTTACTTTCTGAGAGTTTTTATTGTGAATGAGTGTTGAATTTTGTCAAGTGCTTTTTCTAAATCAACTAATTGTCATGCAGTTTTTGTTGTTTAGCCTGTTAATAAGGTGGGTTACATCGATTGATTTTTGACTGTTGAACCAGCTTTGCATCCCTGGAATAAACCAGTTGGTGATGATGTCTACTTCTTTTTATATATTGCTTAATTCTACTTGCTAATATTTTGCTATGGAGTTTTGTATCTGTATTTGTGAGGGATATTATTCTGTGATTTGTACTGTCTTTGTCTGGTTTCATTATCATGCTAGGACTAGCTTTTTAAAATGAATTGGGAAGTATTTCCTCTTCTGTTTTCTAGAAGAGATTGTTTAGAGTCTGTGTTAATTCTTTTTTAATGTTTGGTAGAATTATCCAGTGAAGCAATTTGGGCCTGCTAATTTCTTTTTTGGGATTCTTAAAATTATGAATTCAATTTCCTTAATAGTTGTAGGACTATTCAAAAGATCTATT